GTGAGTTTCTTTGCGTGGACTGGCACTGAGACAGTCGGCTAAGTATGCGTATGTAAAGCCGAGACCGCGAAACACTTCGTCAATTAATCCTTGGAATGCTCGTGTTGCATTCCGGAGACCGGGTGGTATACACAGAAATTCAAAATGTCCGAAAGGCGTTTTGAGCGCAGTTCTAGAAATCTCATCAGGTGTCATTGGGATTTGGTTGTACGCCTTAACCAAGTCTATTTTCGAGAATATAGTTGCGCCAGATAATGTTGCCGTCAAGTCATATTCGTGAGGCAATGGATAGCAATCAGGGTGTGGCGGCCGAAAAACATGTCAAATTATATGTTCACCAAAAAATAAGGAATCCAATGAAAATCGTGGTTGTTATGTGAGATTGAAAAGGACTCTACCTTGTTCCGCGCGCTCAGAACAAATCTGCTTCTCTCAAGGTGATTCAAATTTGAAAGGAGGGGTCAGTTCAAAAACCGGTGGACGCTGAACTGTAAAAGCCTAGCTCTCTGTATATACATGTATATATATTTTGGACTGCTGCTGGTGTAATTCAGTGTCAATTATAAAGTGCTTTTCCTCAAGTCGTGTTCTGCTTCTTCGCTCTACCCTGCGTGCTTGATCTGTATAATTGTTTGTGTTGTTCTATTACAGCTGTATGGCTGAAGAGAAAGTAAAAGTTGGGTGTCGTGTTAAAATAACATCGAGAGCGGTTTTTGGGACCGTTGCTTTTGTCGGAATAACACAATTCTCACCAGGTAAAAAATTTTTGTTCTCATCGCGGACTTAGGAAAATGGGTGGGTATAATACTAGACGAGCCCAAAGGGAAGAACAACGGCACGGTTCAGGGGAAACGCTACTTTACATGTGAGGAAAATTTTGGGATATTTGTGCGCCCATCTCAGGTATGTTTTATTTTAAACGGTTTTATGCATTGCTTGCATCTCTCTATGTGTCAGCTAATGCATATTATAAGAAGTCTTTACTACCAGGGGCTCCATAATATCTTTCTCATCAATTTCGCATTACCCTATTTAGCTTTTTCAGTCCTTGCACTCCGTATTTATATCAGATTATAAAAAGGTATTCCCAGCCCCATGAAACTGGATTCCCAACTGAATATTTAGTCTGCTGGTATTCTTACTCTGCGTGGAATTATATTGTAGCATTGTCCAGACCTACAGGCACACTTATTGGAACCTAGGCGAAGTTAAACTATCATAACCAAAATTACGGTGACTTTGGGCAACCAATCAGAATTCAGATGAAAACAGGTCGCATAATCTGTGGAAAATGCATTAATGCACATTGTGAATACGATATTACACTGAATAATTGTCGCTTATGTGTTGTAAGGATGTCTCCCAGTCGCTAACCGGACAACCTAAAGAGAAGTCTTACCATGCGTGATAGATGTTTTCATCCAGGTGACTGTTGATCGTGATACTTTGAAATCCACTGATGTTTCTGACACTTCTTTAACCTACACCTAACTGTAACCGTAATCTTAAAAGCCATAACCGTAGCATACCTGCAGTACAGATTCACAGAAAAAGTACATGGGGAATAAGTAGAATACTGTATCTACTCTCGCCAAATTCTAAACGGTAAGCATGATTTGATTTCGAATGACATTTCCGTAAATCTGATTGGTTCTTGGATGTCCACTTTTGACAGACCTTGACTTTGGCTGTGATACGTTAACTTCGCCGGGAACTGAATCCAACTGTAGTCTCCAGCCTATAGAGCTTATGACACTAGAGCATCCAAAGGGCTTAATCAACATGATGTCGGGACTTACTGTCATTTCTGTCGAGTAGTTGTTTCGCAACATTTCCTTAGAAGGCGATAACTTTTATGCTTGCTCAGCCTTTGCTTCAATATGCACCAGGCAGTCGATTTTCTTCCTTACTTCCGATTGTTAGTCTCAACCATACCTTAATATCTTAAAGAACAGACAGAGTGCGCCCCCTGAAGAATATACTGCTAAAACATTGTCTATCCAATGGTTTGTGAGACTTTAGGAATGTGTGCGATATATTCCTTGTTTTCTAAGAAACTGGACTTGGTGCTCATTGGCTTTAGATCTTGCCTTCAAGCCAGTGGACACCGGGCTCTAATCCCATTTCACTTACTGCAACCTGAGCAACTGATTAGTATCAGAAGCCTCTACATAATGCGTAATTCGTAGGTGGGTACATTAAATATGTTTTCCGGGTAGTTGGGTTCTTCTAAATATAATTTCTCACTCCCGCAAATGTTTGAACCGACACTTATTTCAACTTTAGAAAGTCACTTTGTTATCAATTGGTGAAGTGTGAAGGCCGTCTCATTTTCGTTATCCACTTCTTTAGTGAAATATCTGTATACCTATTAGGCGTCAAGAATATATCAGTATGCGCCGTTATATTATCCCAGTGTTTAGTCATCAGTGTTGAGTCTGCAAAGATTACATTCATTTATTCTACACACCACCTCTCTTCTTTGATAGAAAATTAACTGTCAATCGTCTAAATTGGTTTTATCATTTGTTACGCCTACTTACCACCTACCATGGCTTGTTGAGTCAAGGGTGGCCGTATCCGTACCCAGCCAATGAATGAATTCATGACTGTTAGTCCAATTAGTTTGGAAAAGTGCAACTTGCTTGCTGTGGTCGAAATGACTACCAAAACTCGTGACTAAAGATTGTGGGTGATTGGGATCAAAATAAATTATACAGACGCAAACGTATTCTCATCTTTTTATTTTAAATGTGTTGTCACATACTTTGTTTCTGTCCTTTTATTTCACAATATTTTACCACTTCTGATTACATTGTTAACATCACTTCTCTATTCGCATTCTTATTACCTTACATTTATATATATATATATGTATACATGAACCACCATACAATCATGCAACTCCTTGTATTAATAATGGTAGGATAATAGTAATATGACTCCATTCAAATACTGTATAGTCCAATATGCAGGACATATTTTAATTCTCTTGTCCCGCATTGTGCCATTTTTCTGTTTTATTATGTTAAGGACTATTTACAGTGTTTGTCTTTGAGTGATATTATAAAATGTATCAGGTGGTTCTGCGATGATTAGTTGAGAATGTGAACCGTAATAAGTTTTCTCCATTTTGTGTAAGTCAATTCTTGTTTTTCCCGTTGATTAATTGAACGGAAATGTTTGGCTTCTGTCGACATGCGGCTCTGAATGTGGACTATCCGATGATGTCTGAGGATCAACAGTGATGTTATTTGCTGCCGAAGTGGCTTAGTGGTTAACACTGGCGTTTGAAACGACGGGGACTGGGTATGATTCTCAGCAGAAATACCATCACACACACTGGAGATTGCAGTTACCTCTAGATGACGAGTCCTAAACGAGAGGGAACGTACTTCCGGGATTCCACTGATAGTCACTATACACCAAATAACATGACAGATATGAGTCTGGAGTTTGTAACAAAGTAAATTAACTAATATTTATTGTTAAATTTGACTCATTGAATCCAGCGTCCTTTGTTTTATCTCTTTGTTCGGCAGGTAAATATTTTAGTCCAATGTACTGGTCCCCTAAAAAGTATTAATCAGATTTCATTCGCAACAGTAGTATATATTTTGTTGTACTTTATTCAGGTTGTGTCCAAAAATATCGATCGTGAATGCATCTTGCAATTAAAAAATCTAATTTATTTATAAAGAAGCAACCTCTATCTTCTGCTTAGAGGAAAGTGAATCAGTAGAGAACAAGCCTTTGCGAATGATTGAAGCTGAATTTCATGACAAGCACTCATACGAAAGGTCCAGTTCTGAAATAGATAAAGAGGTTCTGAAGGCAACCGATAGGGAGATACGATTGCGGAACGGACATTATGAAGTTCCATTGACTTGGAAAGAGGACTGGCGTAGATTACCGCCTAATAGGTTTGAGGCAGAACGCAGGCTGGACAGTCTTCAGAAGAAACTCAAAAAGGACGAAAGCCTATTAAATCCTACAATCAAATACCAACAGACCATGAGTGGAAGGGTTACATTAGTCGCGTTCCTGACGACTTCTCCAAGAAACGTAGATTTATCCCTCACCACCCAGTTATAAATCCCCGCAAGCCTGGTAAAATAAGGGTGATTTTCGATAGTGCCTTTAGTTTCTTATGGTATTCTGAGGGTAGACCGGACTTACCACCGAGCCTATATCAATTAAACGTACATCCCTTCGGTGCTGCATCATCACCTTTTTGTGCAGCCTATGCTTTAAAACGAGCCACAATTGACGTTAGTTTATGTGGACGTTGTTCACGACGATGGAAACAAGGGCAACTCCTTGCCGATACGTTTTGGAGACGGTGGAAGCGGGAGTACTTGACGACTATACAATCGCGTGCAAAGTGGGTTCAACGACATCGGAACTTACAAGTGGGAGACCTAGTACTAGTGACTGCGGAGCCTTCACCTCGCAATCTTTGTTCAATGGGAATAATTACAGGTATTACGGCAAGCTGTGATGGGTATATCAGAAAAGTGGATATCAAGACACCGAGGGGTATAGTCAACCGAGATGTGCGTAAGGTTTGCCTATTAGAAAATATTGAGGAGAGATAAGCACTTTGTAGGATATATAGCTGGATAGTGGATGCAGATGTGGCGAGAGTAAATTGTACCATTTCTGTGTCTTACTAGCAGGTAGAGTAGGTAAAACCAGGCTGGTTTTGAGGGGGCGGTGTTAATTCCTTTCCTACTTGTTCATTCTCAATCTTTCCTTTGTTCAACATTATACTACTTGCCATTAGTAAGTATGGTAGTATGGTTTTTATATGTTAATTTATAACAATGACATTCGCTTACAACTGCAGTTAAATTACTTCTTCTATTATCATTCTATCAATGTATAGTTCTTATTTTTCTTCTCCTTAAACATTATTTGCTGACCTCACCCTATAGTGTATGCTTTCCTATTGAAAGTTGTTTGTTCATATTTGTTTATTCTTTGCTTGGCATTCGCGGGCCGTTTGAACCGACACGTGGATCAACCTTGACACAGCATTGCTGTTTTTACTTATTGACTGCACAGTGGTTGTGCATTTGACGGCATTTAGCCACAGATACCTCACATCTTGAGGTTTGTATATTATATATCTATTTTTATGTAATAAAGTACCGTATTGCAGAATATCCTGTATTTCGCACTTTACGCGTCACTCTACGTGTGGTTAAATCTATAATTTGGATTATCGTTTCGGATTTCTTTTGGGAGAATTCACAACATGTATATATTTTTTGGACTGCTGCTGGTGTAATTCAGTGTCAATTATAAAGTGCTTTTCCTCAAGTCGTGTTCTGCTTCTTCGCTCTACCCTGCGTGCTTGATCTGTATAATTGTTTGTGTTGTTCTATTACAGCTGTATGGCTGAAGAGAAAGTAAAAGTTGGGTGTCGTGTTAAAATAACATCGAGAGCGGTTTTTGGGACCGTTGCTTTTGTCGGAATAACACAATTCTCACCAGGTAAAAAATTTTTGTTCTCATCGCGGACTTAGGAAAATGGGTGGGTATAATACTAGACGAGCCCAAAGGGAAGAACAACGGCACGGTTCAGGGGAAACGCTACTTTACATGTGAGGAAAATTTTGGGATATTTGTGCGCCCATCTCAGGTATGTTTTATTTTAAACGGTTTTATGCATTGCTTGCATCTCTCTATGTGTCAGCTAATGCATATTATAAGAAGTCTTTACTACCAGGGGCTCCATAATGTCTTTCTCATCAATTTCGCATTACCCTATTTAGCTTTTTCAGTCCTTGCACTCCGTATTTATATCGGATTATAAAAAGGTATTCCCAGCCCCATGAAACTGGATTCCCAACTGAATATTTAGTCTGCTGGTATTCTTACTCTGCGTGGAATTATATTGTAGCATTGTCCAGACCTACAGGCACACTTATTGGAACCTAGGCGAAGTTAAACTATCATAACCAAAATTACGGTGACTTTGGGCAATCAATCAGAATTCACATGAAAACAGGTCGCATAATCTGTGGAAAATGCATTAATGCACATTGTGAATACGATATTACACTGAATAATTGTCGCTTATGTGTTGTAAGGATGTCTCCCAGTCGCTAACCGGACAACCTAAAGAGAAGTCTTACCATGCGTGATAGATGTTTTCATCCAGGTGACTGTTGATCGTGATACTTTGAAATCCACTGATGTTTCTGACACTTCTTTAACCTACACCTAACTGTAACCGTAATCTTAAAAGCCATAACCGTAGCATACCTGCAGTACAGATTCACAGAAAAAGTACATGGGGAATAAGTAGAATACTGTATCTACTCTCGCCAAATTCTAAACGGTAAGCATGATTTGATTTCGAATGACATTTCCGTAAATCTGATTGGTTCTTGGATGTCCACTTTTGACAGACCTTGACTTTGGCTGTGATACGTTAACTTCGCCGGGAACTGAATCCAACTGTAGTCTCCAGCCTATAGAGCTTATGACACTAGAGCATCCAAAGGGCTTAATCAACATGATGTCGGGACTTACTGTCATTTCTGTCGAGTAGTTGTTTCGCAACATTTCCTTAGAAGGCGATAACTTTTATGCTTGCTCAGCCTTTGCTTCAATATGCACCAGGCAGTCGATTTTCTTCCTTACTTCCGATTGTTAGTCTCAACCATACCTTAATATCTTAAAGAACAGACAGAGTGCGCCCCCTGAAGAATATACTGCTAAAACATTGTCTATCCAATGGTTTGTGAGACTTTAGGAATGTGTGCGATATATTCCTTGTTTTCTAAGAAACTGGACTTGGTGCTCATTGGCTTTAGATCTTGCCTTCAAGCCAGGGGACACCGGGCTCTAATCCCATTTCACTTACTGCAACCTGAGCAACTGATTAGTATCAGAAGCCTCTACATAATGCGTAATTCGTAAGTGGGTACATTAAATATGTTTTCCGGGTAGTTGGGTTCTTCTAAATATAATTTCTCACTCCCGCAAATGTTTGAACCGACACTTATTTCAACTTTAGAAAGTCACTTTGTTATCAATTGGTGAAGTGTGAAGGCCGTCTCATTTTCGTTATCCACTTCTTTAGTGAAATATCTGTATACCTATTAGGCGTCAAGAATATATCAGTATGCGCCGTTATATTATCCCAGTGTTTAGTCATCAGTGTTGAGTCTGCAAAGATTACATTCATTTATTCTACACACCACCTCTCTTCTTTGATAGAAAATTAACTGTCAATCGTCTAAATTGGTTTTATCATTTGTTACGCCTACTTACCACCTACCATGGCTTGTTGAGTCAAGGGTGGCCGTATCCGTACCCAGCCAATGAATGAATTCATGACTGTTAGTCCAATTAGTTTGGAAAAGTGCAACTTGCTTGCTGTGGTCGAAATGACTACCAAAACTCGTGACTAAAGATTGTGGGTGATTGGGATCAAAATAAATTATACAGACGCAAACGTATTCTCATCTTTTTATTTTAAATGTGTTGTCACATACTTTGTTTCTGTCCTTTTATTTCACAATATTTTACCACTTCTGATTACATTGTTAACATCACTTCTCTATTCGCATTCTTATTACCTTACATTTATATATATATATATATGTATACATGAACCACCATACAATCATGCAACTCCTTGTATTAATAATGGTAGGATAATAGTAATATGACTCCATTCAAATACTGTATAGTCCAATATGCAGGACATATTTTAATTCTCTTGTCCCGCATTGTGCCATTTTTCTGTTTTATTATGTTAAGGACTATTTACAGTGTTTGTCTTTGAGTGATATTATAAAATGTATCAGGTGGTTCTGCGATGATTAGTTGAGAATGTGAACCGTAATAAGTTTTCTCCATTTTGTGTAAGTCAATTCTTGTTTTTCCCGTTGATTAATTGAACGGAAATGTTTGGCTTCTGTCGACATGCGGCTCTGAATGTGGACTATCCGATGATGTCTGAGGATCAACAGTGATGTTATTTGCTGCCGAAGTGGCTTAGTGGTTAACACTGGCGTTTGAAACGACGGGGACTGGGTATGATTCTCAGCAGAAATACCATCACACACACTGGAGATTGCAGTTACCTCTAGATGACGAGTCCTAAACGAGAGGGAACGTACTTCCGGGATTCCACTGATAGTCACTATACACCAAATAACATGACAGATATGAGTCTGGAGTTTGTAACAAAGTAAATTAACTAATATTTATTGTTAAATTTGACTCATTGAATCCAGCGTCCTTTGTTTTATCTCTTTGTTCGGCAGGTAAATATTTTAGTCCAATGTACTGGTCCCCTAAAAAGTATTAATCAGATTTCATTCGCAACAGTAGTATATATTTTGTTGTACTTTATTCAGGTTGTGTCCAAAAATATCGATCGTGAATGCATCTTGCAATTAAAAAATCTAATTTATTTATAAAGAAGCAACCTCTATCTTCTGCTTAGAGGAAAGTGAATCAGTAGAGAACAAGCCTTTGCGAATGATTGAAGCTGAATTTCATGACAAGCTCTCATACGAAAGGTCCTGTTCTGAAATAGATAAAGAGGTTCTGCAGGCAACCGATAGGGAGATACGATTGCGGAACGGACATTATGAAGTTCCATTGACTTGGAAAGAGGACTGGCGTAGATTACCGCCTAATAGGTTTGAGGCAGAACGCAGGCTGGACAGTCTTCAGAAGAAACTCAAAAAGGACGAAAGCCTATTAAAGTCCTACAATCAAATACCAACAGACCATGAGTGGAAGGGTTACATTAGTCGCGTTCCTGACGACTTCTCCAAGAAACGTAGATTTATCCCTCACCACCCAGTTATAAATCCCCGCAAGCCTGGTAAAATAAGGGTGATTTTCGATAGTGCCTTTAGTTTCTTATGGTATTCTGAGGGTAGACCGGACTTACCACCGAGCCTATATCAATTAAACGTACATCCCTTCGGTGCTGCATCATCACCTTTTTGTGCAGCCTATGCTTTAAAACGAGCCACAATTGACGTTAGTTTATGTGGACGTTGTTCACGACGATGGAAACAAGGGCAACTCCTTGCCGATACGTTTTGGAGACGGTGGAAGCGGGAGTACTTGACGACTATACAATCGCGTGCAAAGTGGGTTCAACGACATCGGAACTTACAAGTGGGAGACCTAGTACTAGTGACTGCGGAGCCTTCACCTCGCAATCTTTGTTCAATGGGAATAATTACAGGTATTACGGCAAGCTGTGATGGGTATATCAGAAAAGTGGATATCAAGACACCGAGGGGTATAGTCAACCGAGATGTGCGTAAGGTTTGCCTATTAGAAAATATTGAGGAGAGATAAGCACTTTGTAGGATATATAGCTGGATAGTGGATGCAGATGTGGCGAGAGTAAATTGTACCATTTCTGTGTCTTACTAGCAGGTAGAGTAGGTAAAACCAGGCTGGTTTTGAGGGGGCGGTGTTAATTCCTTTCCTACTTGTTCATTCTCAATCTTTCCTTTGTTCAACATTATACTACTTGCCATTAGTAAGTATGGTAGTATGGTTTTTATATGTTAATTTATAACAATGACATTTGCTTACAACTGCAGTTAAATTACTTCTTCTATTATCATTCTATCAATGTATAGTTCTTATTTTTCTTCTCCTTAAACATTATTTGCTGACCTTACCCTATAGTGTATGCTTTCCTATTGAAAGTTGTTTGTTCATATTTGTTTATTCTTTGCTTGGCATTCGCGGGCCGTTTGAACCGACACGTGGATCAACCTTGACACAGCATTGCTGTTTTTACTTATTGACTGCACAGTGGTTGTGCATTTGACGGCATTTAGCCACAGATACCTCACATCTTGAGGTTTGTATATTATATATCTATTTTTATGTAATAAAGTACCGTATTGCAGAATATCCTGTATTTCGCACTTTACGCGTCACTCTACGTGTGGTTAAATCTATAATTTGGATTATCGTTTCGGATTTCTTTTGGGAGAAATTCACAACATGTATATATTTTTTGGACTGCTGCTGGTGTAATTCAGTGTCAATTATAAAGTGCTTTTCCTCAAGTCGTGTTCTGCTTCTTCGCTCTACCCTGCGTGCTTGATCTGTATAATTGTTTGTGTTGTTCTATTACAGCTGTATGGCTGAAGAGAAAGTAAAAGTTGGGTGTCGTGTTAAAATAACATCGAGAGCGGTTTTTGGGACCGTTGCTTTTGTCGGAATAACACAATTCTCACCAGGTAAAAAATTTTTGTTCTCATCGCGGACTTAGGAAAATGGGTGGGTATAATACTAGACGAGCCCAAAGGGAAGAACAACGGCACGGTTCAGGGGAAACGCTACTTTACATGTGAGGAAAATTTTGGGATATTTGTGCGCCCATCTCAGGTATGTTTTATTTTAAACGGTTTTATGCATTGCTTGCATCTCTCTATGTGTCAGCTAATGCATATTATAAGAAGTCTTTACTACCAGGGGCTCCATAATGTCTTTCTCATCAATTTCGCATTACCCTATTTAGCTTTTTCAGTCCTTGCACTCCGTATTTATATCGGATTATAAAAAGGTATTCCCAGCCCCATGAAACTGGATTCCCAACTGAATATTTAGTCTGCTGGTATTCTTACTCTGCGTGGAATTATATTGTAGCATTGTCCAGACCTACAGGCACACTTATTGGAACCTAGGCGAAGTTAAACTATCATAACCAAAATTACGGTGACTTTGGGCAATCAATCAGAATTCACATGAAAACAGGTCGCATAATCTGTGGAAAATGCATTAATGCACATTGTGAATACGATATTACACTGAATAATTGTCGCTTATGTGTTGTAAGGATGTCTCCCAGTCGCTAACCGGACAACCTAAAGAGAAGTCTTACCATGCGTGATAGATGTTTTCATCCAGGTGACTGTTGATCGTGATACTTTGAAATCCACTGATGTTTCTGACACTTCTTTAACCTACACCTAACTGTAACCGTAATCTTAAAAGCCATAACCGTAGCATACCTGCAGTACAGATTCACAGAAAAAGTACATGGGGAATAAGTAGAATACTGTATCTACTCTCGCCAAATTCTAAACGGTAAGCATGATTTGATTTCGAATGACATTTCCGTAAATCTGATTGGTTCTTGGATGTCCACTTTTGACAGACCTTGACTTTGGCTGTGATACGTTAACTTCGCCGGGAACTGAATCCAACTGTAGTCTCCAGCCTATAGAGCTTATGACACTAGAGCATCCAAAGGGCTTAATCAACATGATGTCGGGACTTACTGTCATTTCTGTCGAGTAGTTGTTTCGCAACATTTCCTTAGAAGGCGATAACTTTTATGCTTGCTCAGCCTTTGCTTCAATATGCACCAGGCAGTCGATTTTCTTCCTTACTTCCGATTGTTAGTCTCAACCATACCTTAATATCTTAAAGAACAGACAGAGTGCGCCCCCTGAAGAATATACTGCTAAAACATTGTCTATCCAATGGTTTGTGAGACTTTAGGAATGTGTGCGATATATTCCTTGTTTTCTAAGAAACTGGACTTGGTGCTCATTGGCTTTAGATCTTGCCTTCAAGCCAGGGGACACCGGGCTCTAATCCCATTTCACTTACTGCAACCTGAGCAACTGATTAGTATCAGAAGCCTCTACATAATGCGTAATTCGTAAGTGGGTACATTAAATATGTTTTCCGGGTAGTTGGGTTCTTCTAAATATAATTTCTCACTCCCGCAAATGTTTGAACCGACACTTATTTCAACTTTAGAAAGTCACTTTGTTATCAATTGGTGAAGTGTGAAGGCCGTCTCATTTTCGTTATCCACTTCTTTAGTGAAATATCTGTATACCTATTAGGCGTCAAGAATATATCAGTATGCGCCGTTATATTATCCCAGTGTTTAGTCATCAGTGTTGAGTCTGCAAAGATTACATTCATTTATTCTACACACCACCTCTCTTCTTTGATAGAAAATTAACTGTCAATCGTCTAAATTGGTTTTATCATTTGTTACGCCTACTTACCACCTACCATGGCTTGTTGAGTCAAGGGTGGCCGTATCCGTACCCAGCCAATGAATGAATTCATGACTGTTAGTCCAATTAGTTTGGAAAAGTGCAACTTGCTTGCTGTGGTCGAAATGACTACCAAAACTCGTGACTAAAGATTGTGGGTGATTGGGATCAAAATAAATTATACAGACGCAAACGTATTCTCATCTTTTTATTTTAAATGTGTTGTCACATACTTTGTTTCTGTCCTTTTATTTCACAATATTTTACCACTTCTGATTACATTGTTAACATCACTTCTCTATTCGCATTCTTATTACCTTACATTTATATATATATATATATGTATACATGAACCACCATACAATCATGCAACTCCTTGTATTAATAATGGTAGGATAATAGTAATATGACTCCATTCAAATACTGTATAGTCCAATATGCAGGACATATTTTAATTCTCTTGTCCCGCATTGTGCCATTTTTCTGTTATATTATGTTAAGGACTATTTACAGTGTTTGTCTTTGAGTGATATTATAAAATGTATCAGGTGGTTCTGCGATGATTAGTTGAGAATGTGAACCGTAATAAGTTTTCTCCATTTTGTGTAAGTCAATTCTTGTTTTTCCCGTTGATTAATTGAACGGAAATGTTTGGCTTCTGTCGACATGCGGCTCTGAATGTGGACTATCCGATGATGTCTGAGGATCAACAGTGATGTTATTTGCTGCCGAAGTGGCTTAGTGGTTAACACTGGCGTTTGAAACGACGGGGACTGGGTTTGATTCTCAGCAGAAATACCATCACACACACTGGAGATTGCAGTTACCTCTAGATGACGAGTCCTAAACGAGAGGGAACGTACTTCCGGGATTCCACTGATAGTCACTATACACCAAATAACATGACAGATATGAGTCTGGAGTTTGTAACAAAGTAAATTAACTAATATTTATTGTTAAATTTGACTCATTGAATCCAGCGTCCTTTGTTTTATCTCTTTGTTCGGCAGGTAAATATTTTAGTCCAATGTACTGGTCCCCTAAAAAGTATTAATCAGATTTCATTCGCAACAGTAGTATATATTTTGTTGTACTTTATTCAGGTTGTGTCCAAAAATATCGATCGTGAATGCATCTTGCAATTAAAAAATCTAATTTATTTATAAAGAAGCAACCTCTATCTTCTGCTTAGAGGAAAGTGAATCAGTAGAGAACAAGCCTTTGCGAATGATTGAAGCTGAATTTCATGACAAGCTCTCATACGAAAGGTCCTGTTCTGAAATAGATAAAGAGGTTCTGCAGGCAACCGATAGGGAGATACGATTGCGGAACGGACATTATGAAGTTCCATTGACTTGGAAAGAGGACTGGCGTAGATTACCGCCTAATAGGTTTGAGGCAGAACGCAGGCTGGACAGTCTTCAGAAGAAACTCAAAAAGGACGAAAGCCTATTAAATCCTACAATCAAATACCAACAGACCATGAGTGGAAGGGTTACATTAGTCGCGTTCCTGACGACTTCTCCAAGAAACGTAGATTTATCCCTCACCACCCAGTTATAAATCCCCGCAAGCCTGGTAAAATAAGGGTGATTTTCGATAGTGCCTTTAGTTTCTTATGGTATTCTGAGGGTAGACCGGACTTACCACCGAGCCTATATCAATTAAACGTACATCCCTTCGGTGCTGCATCATCACCTTTTTGTGCAGCCTATGCTTTAAAACGAGCCACAATTGACGTTAGTTTATGTGGACGTTGTTCACGACGATGGAAACAAGGGCAACTCCTTGCCGATACGTTTTGGAGACGGTGGAAGCGGGAGTACTTGACGACTATACAATCGCGTGCAAAGTGGGTTCAACGACATCGGAACTTACAAGTGGGAGACCTAGTACTAGTGACTGCGGAGCCTTCACCTCGCAATCTTTGTTCAATGGGAATAATTACAGGTATTACGGCAAGCTGTGATGGGTATATCAGAAAAGTGGATATCAAGACACCGAGGGGTATAGTCAACCGAGATGTGCGTAAGGTTTGCCTATTAGAAAATATTGAGGAGAGATAAGCACTTTGTAGGATATATAGCTGGATAGTGGATGCAGATGTGGCGAGAGTAAATTGTACCATTTCTGTGTCTTACTAGCAGGTAGAGTAGGTAAAACCAGGCTGGTTTTGAGGGGGCGGTGTTAATTCCTTTCCTACTTGTTCATTCTCAATCTTTCCTTTGTTCAACATTATACTACTTGCCATTAGTAAGTATGGTAGTATGGTTTTTATATGTTAATTTATAACAATGACATTTGCTTACAACTGCAGTTAAATTACTTCTTCTATTATCATTCTATCAATGTATAGTTCTTATTTTTCTTCTCCTTAAACATTATTTGCTGACCTCACCCTATAGTGTATGCTTTCCTATTGAAAGTTGTTTGTTCATATTTGTTTATTCTTTGCTTGGCATTCGCGGGCCGTTTGAACCGACACGTGGATCAACCTTGACACAGCATTGCTGTTTTTACTTATTGACTGCACAGTGGTTGTGCATTTGACGGCATTTAGCCACAGATACCTCACATCTTGAGGTTTGTATATTATATATCTATTTTTATGTAATAAAGTACCGTATTGCAGAATATCCTGTATTTCGCACTTTACGCGTCACTCTACGTGTGGTTAAATCTATAATTTGGATTATCGTTTCGGATTTCTTTTGGGAGAATTCACAACATGTATATATTTTTTGGACTGCTGCTGGTGTAATTCAGTGTCAATTATAAAGTGCTTTTCCTCAAGTCGTGTTCTGCTTCTTCGCTCTACCCTGCGTGCTTGATCTGTATAATTGTTTGTGTTGTTCTATTACAGCTGTATGGCTGAAGAGAAAGTAAAAGTTGGGTGTCGTGTTAAAATAACATCGAGAGCGGTTTTTGGGACCGTTGCTTTTGTCGGAATAACACAATTCTCACCAGGTAAAAAATTTTTGTTCTCATCGCGGACTTAGGAAAATGGGTGGGTATAATACTAGACGAGCCCAAAGGGAAGAACAACGGCACGGTTCAGGGGAAACGCTACTTTACATGTGAGGAAAATTTTGGGATATTTGTGCGCCCATCTCAGGTATGTTTTATTTTAAACGGTTTTATGCATTGCTTGCATCTCTCTATGTGTCAGCTAATGCATATTATAAGAAGTCTTTACTACCAGGGGCTCCATAATGTCTTTCTCATCAATTTCGCATTACCCTATTTAGCTTTTTCAGTCCTTGCACTCCGTATTTATATCGGATTATAAAAAGGTATTCCCAGCCCCATGAAACTGGATTCCCAACTGAATATTTAGTCTGCTGGTATTCTTACTCTGCGTGGAATTATATTGTAGCATTGTCCAGACCTACAGGCACACTTATTGGAACCTAGGCGAAGTTAAACTATCATAACCAAAATTACGGTGACTTTGGCAATCAATCAGAATTCACATGAAAACAGGTCGCATAATCTGTGGAAAATGCATTAATGCACATTGTGAATACGATATTACACTGAATAATTGTCGCTTATGTGTTGTAAGGATGTCTCCCAGTCGCTAACCGGACAACCTAAAGAGAAGTCTTACCATGCGTGATAGATGTTTTCATCCAGGTGACTGTTGATCGTGATACTTTGAAATCCACTGATGTTTCTGACACTTCTTTAACCTACACCTAACTGTAACCGTAATCTTAAAAGCCATAACCGTAGCATACCTGCAGTACAGATTCACAGAAAAAGTACATGGGGAATAAGTAGAATACTGTATCTACTCTCGCCAAATTCTAAACGGTAAGCATGATTTGATTTCGAATGACATTTCCGTAAATCTGATTGGTTCTTGGATGTCCACTTTTGACAGACCTTGACTTTGGCTGTGATACGTTAACTTCGCCGGGAACTGAATCCAACTGTAGTCTCCAGCCTATAGAGCTTATGACACTAGAGCATCCAAAGGGCTTAATCAACATGATGTCGGGACTTACTGTCATTTCTGTCGAGTAGTTGTTTCGCAACATTTCCTTAGAAGGCGATAACTTTTATGCTTGCTCAGCCTTTGCTTCAATATGCACCAGGCAGTCGATTTTCTTCCTTACTTCCGATTGTTAGTCTCAACCATACCTTAATATCTTAAAGAACAGACAGAGTGCGCCCCCTGAAGAATATACTGCTAAAACATTGTCTATCCAATGGTTTGTGAGACTTTAGGAATGTGTGCGATATATTCCTTGTTTTCTAAGAAACTGGACTTGGTGCTCATTGGCTTTAGATCTTGCCTTCAAGCCAGGGGACACCGGGCTCTAATCCCATTTCACTTACTGCAACCTGAGCAACTGATTAGTATCAGAAGCCTCTACATAATGCGTAATTCGTAAGTGGGTACATTAAATATGTTTTCCGGGTAGTTGGGTTCTTCTAAATATAATTTCTCACTCCCGCAAATGTTTGAACCGACACTTATTTCAACTTTAGAAAGTCACTTTGTTATCAATTGGTGAAGTGTGAAGGCCGTCTCATTTTCGTTATCCACTTCTTTAGTGAAATATCTGTATACCTATTAGGCGTCAAGAATATATCAGTATGCGCCGTTATATTATCCCAGTGTTTAGTCATCAGTGTTGAGTCTGCAAAGATTACATTCATTTATTCTACACACCACCTCTCTTCTTTGATAGAAAATTAACTGTCAATCGTCTAAATTGGTTTTATCATTTGTTACGCCTACTTACCACCTACCATGGCTTGTTGAGTCAAGGGTGGCCGTATCCGTACCCAGCCAATGAATGAATTCATGACTGTTAGTCCAATTAGTTTGGAAAAGTGCAACTTGCTTGCTGTGGTCGAAATGACTACCAAAACTCGTGACTAAAGATTGTGGGTGATTGGGATCAAAATAAATTATACAGACGCAAACGTATTCTCATCTTTTTATTTTAAATGTGTTGTCACATACTTTGTTTCTGTCCTTTTATTTCACAATATTTTACCACTTCTGATTACATTGTTAACATCACTTCTCTATTCGCATTCTTATTACCTTACATTTATATATATATATATATATGTATACATGAACCACCATACAATCATGCAACTCCTTGTATTAATAATGGTAGGATAATAGTAATATGACTCCATTCAAATACTGTATAGTCCAATATCCAGGACATATTTTAATTCTCTTGTCCCGCATTGTGCCATTTTTCTGTTTTATTATGTTAAGGACTATTTACAGTGTTTGTCTTTGAGTGATATTATAAAATGTATCAGGTGGTTCTGCGATGATTAGTTGAGAATGTGAACCGTAATAAGTTTTCTCCATTTTGTGTAAGTCAATTCTTGTTTTTCCCGTTGATTAATTGAACGGAAATGTTTGGCTTCTGTCGACATGCGGCTCTGAATGTGGACTATCCGATGATGTCTGAGGATCAACAGTGATGTTATTTGCTGCCGAAGTGGCTTAGTGGTTAACACTGGCGTTTGAAACGACGGGGACTGGGTTTGATTCTCAGCAGAAATACCATCACACACACTGGAGATTGCAGTTACCTCTAGATGACGAGTCCTAAACGAGAGGGAACGTACTTCCGGGATTCCACTGATAGTCCCTATACACCAAATAACATGACAGATATGAGTCTGGAGTTTGTAACAAAGTAAATTAACTAATATTTATTGTTAAATTTGACTCATTGAATCCAGCGTCCTTTGTTTTATCTCTTTGTTCGGCAGGTAAATATTTTAGTCCAATGTACTGGTCCCCTAAAAAGTATTAATCAGATTTCATTCGCAACAGTAGTATATATTTTGTTGTACTTTATTCAGGTTGTGTCCAAAAATATCGATCGTGAATGCATCTTGCAATTAAAAAATCTAATTTATTTATTCCTCCTTTGTTATCCAGCTTACTCTTCTAGATGGTCCGGAAAGATCAGACGTGATGAAGTTATCCACATCTAGCGTTGTTTCCGAATCAGGTGGCACTTCAGAATCAAAGGAAGTTACAAAACTTGCTGGTTCGACATCTTCGTTGTCTGTAGGATTGAAAACTCCTGAGACAGTTAAAGGTATTGAATGTTTTATTTTCTGCCTGTTCGTCATTTATCTACTTCGTTTTGAATCTTATCACTAATATGTATAAAAGTAATGTAATGTAGCATTTTAACCCCAAGGGAGCACATAGTGTTATTTACATCAATAACATTATTTGTCAGCTGAAGTGATTTGTATGCTTACTTCATTTGTATTGCCTGATAAAGGAGTAAGAAGTTTTGCCACACTCAATTCATTACCCATTTATAGATGGTGATACTAAACAGAAAACTGTCTGTTGTATGGAAATTAATGTCATAGCTGAGATGCTCATGCCTTAATTAGTGTAGCGGTGTTTCAATTCGTTATCCACTGACTGGAATTTAACTCAGTTCTCCATGAATTTATCATTCATTGGATTCCAGTTGATTTCACTTTGTTTCGTTACACATGTTGATGAAATCTGATTGATCAGCTTTTTTCAGTAGGTTTGAAAGTTATACGTCGCTGTGCTCTTCAAACCGTTTTTAATAATATAAATCAACTAATAAAAAGTTAAATGACCAATACTTCGTGTTTCTTGATACTTATCATCAATGCTTCCTCATATTAGACTTTTTTTTATTATAGCTTGATTCTATACTGTATTTTTGGTAGAAGTATGGAATTTTCAGCATGTGATATCAGTAGCCCGAATTTCGCAGGCCGACCAATTGATATCAGGTATGCGCCGGCAAGGAATCGAACCTCAGACCATGTGTATGGTCGACGAGAGTCCTAACCGCTGTGCCACCGATGCACCACTGAGTATTATTGTGTTTGAACTAAAGTAACTTTGAAATAATGTTATCAATTATGACACTACTGACAGTTTGTTGTAAAGCTGTAGTACAAAAAAGGAACGCGACAAATCTCAGGGACATTTCATTCAGTAGTTTTGGAAACTAGGTCATTTTTAAGACAGGTGAATCTAATCAACATTATCTGAAATGTTATTGGAAATATAGATGAGCCCATCAGTTTTTTATCTTACGTTTGGGTCTTTCGCTGATGCACATGCTATACTTTTTAGGTTGAACCAAAACACTTGACCCTTACAGCAGACACATTGCTATTGCTCTGCTGGAGATGAAGTTCATTAGGCTAAGCACTCGGTGTACAACTGATGGGTCAGAGGTTCGAATATCACTCCATCTACTTCAACCTGGGCAATTGGATAGTATCATCAGTTCTCACATAATGAGTGTGGCTCTTAGTTTGGCACATGGAAAATCTGTTCCGGGTAATTGAGCTCTACCTGATTGAAATTTAGTGACTGATGTCATTTAAATTTCAGTCATTGCGTGTTATCGAAGTCATTGGCTTAAGTTCTGCTACTGAGGGTTTTGTCCTAGCTTTGATCACCACTCGATTATATTCAGTCACTGTTTTTGTAAGTTTTGACTACCTTTAATTTCGGTCATAATAATTAATTCGAAGACAACGTCCTTTCTCTGAGACGTTGAACTATTCTATTTGTACAGAAATGTAGTGAAATTATTGTCCAGTGCATTTTGTTTTCAGTGACCCCTCAAAAAGTTTTTTTTATGGAAAAAAAATCTGTCGTCGGGTAATTTGTTTATACTCTGTATGCAACCATGACTTTATTTTTCATAAATCAGATAAATTTCTGTTTTTCACTGTTTCATCATTCAATTTTCGATATCATACATATCATAGGATGAACTTCAAAGTTATCCGGTCTCAAACGTTCTCCTCTAGCTAGTTCTACTTCATCTGTGAAGGATAAGGCTAGTGTACCTGCCTCAGCTGGTAGACGTATGTTCTGTTTTCTATAAGTGCATGCTTAACTGAAACAAGAAACAATATATGTATTATTCATTGGTTTATATACATCAATCTTACATTATATAACAGCTACGCTTTAATTTTGCCTCATTTCTTTTGTTCTCGTCATAACATTCGTCTAATGCTTTTAATCCATAATTACAGCATATGCTATAACATCTAATTTTTATTTTTATTTTTTTCTGATCGGATTCATACTACTGTATATTTATTATTTTGTTCTTCCTTTTTTTCGTCACAGTTCCATCAGAAATTGAAAAGACATCACAAGTAAGTTTAGTCTTTTTTTAATATGTTGTGATGACTGACAGTGTCACATAAATTATATTTTTCGAGGCTATCTAGAAAAACGTGGCGTGCTTTCATATATAGGGATTTGATTGATTTCGGTTAGAGAAGCACATTAAAAACTAGGGAGTACTGGACAACTGTCTCCTTCTAGTTCGGGACTCTTGAACAGTACGCACCCACAGTCTCACAAAAAGCGAATGAACCCGAAGCCCTCGGGTTACAAGGCGAGGTCTCTGACCATTTAGCTGCTGAGACAGAATCCAGTGGCCGATGAGGTTGGCTGGTGGTCGCACTGAATATCGCGAGAAATTGACAGAAGTTAGAATTCATGGGCTGGTCATTGGATTATATGCCAACGGCTGAGTGATCAAAGATCTCGCCTTGTATCTTGAAGGTCTTGGCTTCGATTCTTGCTGGCAGGGGGTCTTGAGTGAAGTCAGTTCGTGATCAAACTGTAAGTTATCCATTTGATTGGCTTGCCGTATCTATCGTGTCAGATAGAATGATTCTATTTCTTAATAGACAGCTGATTTTCCAGTGAACTTAATACATTTGATATTTTTATAATTTATCGACTTATTATTTTGTGTTAGTAAACTTCTTAACATGTATGTATACACTTCTCTTTATTGTGTTAAGAATTTATAGTCGCTAATCGATTTCTTTCACATTTTGCTTTTACTGTGTATTGAGTATATATATATATATATATGCCTATGTTCTAGAATCTGTCTTCACCCTTCGACAGATTCTAGAACATAGGCATTCCTACCGGCGTCCAACAATCATTATATTTCTTGACCTAAAGGCGGCATTCGATTCTGTCGACCGAGAGGTTCTCTGGCGATGCTTGGCTGTAAAGGGAATGCCGAGAAAATACATTGCACTGATTAAAGCACTCTACTCGTACTGATGCGGTCAGGTGAGGGCTTATGGCGAGTTGTCATCTGAAGTGGTGACGACTAGTGGCGTCCGTCAAGGATGCCCATTATCCCTATTCCTATTCAACTTCATCATAGACGTACTAATGGACTTAACCCTAACACACTTCAGCGACTCAGGGATTGACTCGCTACCAGGGAATAATCTCGTCGACTTGGAATATGCGGACGATATAGTCCTTCTAGGCGAGGACGCTGACAAAATGCAGAGTCTACTGAACACCTTGAGCAACAATCTTCGTATGTTTGGCATGCGATTCGCCCCTGTAAAATGTAAGATGATGCTGCAGGATTGGACTTCACCGACCCCTAGATTAGAAATAGGAAGTGAATTGGTAGAGCACATTGACCGCATCACTTGCTTGGGAAGTATCATCATCCCAAACAGGTTGATCCCCAACGAAATCTCAACACAAATACAGAGGGCTGGTTTCGCATATGCCAGTTTACGCCACCTCTGGCGTAGACGCGATATCCGACTATCGACCAAGGGGCGTGTGTACTGCTCAACAGTCCGCTCCGTCCTCCTTTATGGCTGTGAGACCTGGCCATTGAGCGCTGAAGGCTTGAAAAGATTAGCTGTCTTTGATCATAGTTGTCTGCGTCCTATCTCCCGCGTGAAGTGGTATGATAAGGTGAGCAGTATTGAGGTTAGGCGTCGACTGCTAGGTAAGGAGGGGAAGTCAGTCGACGAGACTGTGAAATTACATCGACTGAGATGGTTTGGACATGTGCTACGTATGCCTAGTCATCGCTTTCCTCGACGGGCCATGTTAGCTGATATAGGGTCAGGCTGGTAAAGGGCTAGCCGTGGTCAAACGAAAACATGGAACCAGTCAATGAAATCTACAACAGTTAGTCTAAGACACGTAGGAAGGTGTAGACTTCCTGGTTGAGGTCCTCGGGACGGTAAAAACCAATATATATATATATATATATATATATATATATGTAGGTGCTTATATCCACAACCAATCAGGTGACTTGGTTTCTTCACATATCTATGAGAAATATACATGTTATAAGAATAAAACTTGGGCACTGTGGTAGAGTGTAATTCCATTATGGGTAAATTTTATTTTGATAGAGTCTCACAGTGTTATAGAGTAATATTTACTGATGACGTTTCGAGCACAATTTATTGCTCATAATCATATCAAGGTTCTTGAGCCCTGAATCTTGTGTGGTTGGTTGGTGTGCCCATTCTAATCTTGAGCCATCGACATACTTTTATGATTAACTGACACTAATTGAATATTTTTTTTCAAAATAGCAAATTATAAGTAGTCGCTCCATTGTACTATGGTTAAAGTTTAAGTATGATTAAGTGGACTGACACACGTGTCTGAGTAACGTTCTACGTTGATTCGTCATTCATTTATTAGATATGATTTATAATTAATAGATGTATAAGTTATGTATAGATACACTGTTGTCAAGCAAATGGGTCATGCCCTCAAATCCTATTATATACACGTCTTATGACTTATGGGCATTATTGCTAGAAGTCATATGATAGATGTAGCTGATTGGCCAGTTGACATCGCTGCTGAGATGATGCACTTCCTTCTCTACCATTTGTACTGTTTTGTGTGACTGAGAAAACTATGAAAATCCAAAGTATAAGTACTACTGCCTCAAATTATAAGCAATGGAACTCAGTATGTCAGGGTTCAATTCCCGGCCGACACACTCCTAAACCTCGCCTAACCAAGTAGTAAACCTGGGAAAGAGACGTTTGGCCATGAGGCTAGCAAGCATATTTCTCGAAAGAAAACAAAACATCACTGCTAGTGAAACTTCAAAGTTTGAAGTCCTATATTCTACTTAGAACTGAAGGAGAAAAAACGAATTTTTTTAAGCTGGTTATAAAACGACAACATTCTCACTAGCATGGACCAACATAAAGAAATAAAATGAATGATTGTAAAAGAGATACTGTAGGAACATTTAGAATACATGAAAACCTGTTTTTTCTCAGTCCACTGCCTTCCGACTTGAATATAGGACTTAAGGCTTCAAGTTTTGAAGACTCAGTAACCATTGTGCTGCTTCTTATGGGGTGGATTTGTTAGCCGTACACCCAATCTTCAGTCTTTTGCGGACTTACTCTGAACTGGTAAACTAGTCAATTTTTATTAGTACATCGACCGGGAATCGAACCCCAAACTAGGTGCTTAGTTAGCGAGCATTTTACCACTGAATCACTGATGCACCCTTTTTGTCACACATTTAAATAAATTAGTTTGCTCAGTGTTCATTGTTCCCTAAATGGAAGTCAGAATGTGGTGACAGTCGTCTGCAAGCCAAAATTATAGACAGCAGTCCACGTCAATGTTGACGTCCCTAATCGAGGTCATGAGAAAAAACAAGAACAAAGCTTAACTTTGAGGACTTAACGTGTGCAGATACGATTCGCAGATATATGGCTTAAATTTCTGAGAAACGGTCACAAGCAGTACAGAATAACCTTCAGTTAGTGGAGAAACAACCAATAAGAAGAGGTTGTTTCTCCACTAACAATAACGCTAATAATAATACACATAGGAATATATAAATATCTCTTGAATGTATTCAATAAACGATCTGTTACCTGGACCTTGTCTTCTGTTGTTACAAGAATGCTGAAGTCTACTTCTGACAAATCAAGGCTCCATGACTCAGTAATACACAGAAGTTCTTACTCCTATGTTGACCAAATACTGAGTATCAGAATATGACATGAGTAGTTCAATATCTTACATATGTATCCTGGTCCTTTGTTCTCTAATATTTTACGTTCTCTTACTGAACAGTATTCACCTTTTGTATTTCACTTATCATGTTTTCGCTTATTTATAAAACACTTACCTAATACTAACTGATCATTGTTAATACCTGGTTTTTACTCACAATCTTTTGTAATTCTCTAAATTATATCTGTACTTTCAAAGCACAACACCTCGAAATCCACTCTGTAGTGGATTTTCACCAACTATGTTTTGTGCAGACTGTCTTCTAAACTGATTATCAATTTCATACAAATGGTATCTTTTCTTTCTGGTGTGGTTTTTGTTTTATTAATATTTGAATTTATGTGATAAATTTATTAATACCTTAGTTTACTAAACCTTTTTCTGTTTTAAGTGATAAATGGACGTAAACTGCACAAATCAACAGTTGCTGCTGCTGCTGTTGGAGTTCACTAGATCTCATCATCTTGTGTTTCATTCTAAGTGATTATTCAGGGTGTCGGTGGCACAGCAGTTATGACGCTCGCCGACCATGCATATGGTCCGGGGTTCGATCCCCAACCGACGCCCACCTGATATCAATGGTCTCGGCCGGCTAAATTTGAACTACCGATATCATATGCGGAGAATTCCGTACTTGTACCAAAATACTGTGTGGAATGAAGCTATAATTAAATAAATAAATAAATAAAATGGTTAATTTTAAGGTTTTAAGCGAATTGCAGCTTCCAGTGTGTTCTACACTGAAAACCATGTCTATAATATCAAATATAGATAAATCATCTTACAGTATAGCGTATCTAAAAATGAATGAGACAAACAGGTTTTTAATAAAGTTTATGTTTCTTCTAGAATTATCAATTCTTCAATAGTTCAGATTCCTTGTTGATAATGTTCAAGCTTTCGGGATTTCATCTTGTAAATGCCTATGTAAAAACATTCAAGGTAATTTGGAAACTGATCTGACACCATGGATTGCAGCAACTCAAACCTGTATCAGCCTCATTCAACAGTTATATGACGATGCTACATGCCAACTGATTCACAACGGGGAGCTTGGCAAAGCCTCTGAAGTAAAGACTAGAGTAAGACAAGGCAGCCTACTGCCACCGACGATTTTTCTAGTTATATTAGACTGAGCTATGCGACAGTCCGTGAGGAGAGACAGGACGGACATACACTGGAGGGAAAAAAAGACACTGGAATATCTGGACATTCGTCGATGATTTATGTCTAATTTCGCAGAAGTTTGAAGATCTACAAGCGAAAGACCAGCAAGTTAGTGGAAGAGGCAGTGAAGACCGGACTTCAAATGAACATTGATAAAACAGAAGTGATTAGAAACCTAATCGACAGCAACAAGAACGAACTAACATCAATGGGGGAAGTGTGAAGGAAGCCACTTCTTTCAATTACCTAGGCGGGAAGCAAAGATGAAGATGTCAAAGGCAAGGTTGAAAAGGCAATACAGGCCTTCATTACTTTGAAATCAGTGTGGGAATCCGTCGAACTCTGTATAAGTAACAAGATCCGAATTTCCAATGCCATTGTCAAGTCAGTCAGTGATTCCATATGGTTCAGAGAATTGGCGCACTATCAAAAGCATACCAGACAGACTTGGTTCCATACTGAGGATCAGATGGCTGACCAGAAAGGTAAGCAACAAGGAACTCCGTCAGCCAACTGCCCAAAAGCCTATTGCCCATGTAGAAATATGTAGAAGGACATATATATGGATCAGAAATACACTGAGAAGACCGTGGCATCATGCTCCAAGCACTCGAGTAAAACATGAATGGGAAGCGAAAGATGCGTTGTTTGTCCGAGGATGGCATGGATGAGTTCGTGTAAGGTTAAGATGAAAGCTTATGAGCAGTCGAGGAGCCACCTAAGAAAAGACTGCGAAGAACAAGATGCAATGAATCTGTGCTGCTGTGAAGCCTAATTTTCTACCAGTAACCCGTGGGAGTAGCAATTATAATACAATAAGGTCTAAGATTACTTTAAATTGTTGTTAAACTTTACTCTTCCTTTTACTGTACATGTATTAAGCTTGAGTTTTTGGTGGTCTTGTATATATTTAAAATAAACAACATGTTTAACACAACCACCTAGTGTGTTGCACGTTATGAGTACCAGTTTATTCTGTTATCTCGTGTTTTGCTAAATTACAAAAGGTATATCTGCTTCTCTTCTTGGTGGTAAATTTTTGCACTCAGCATTGGAGTTTCTATGTGGTGCTTTGAAGTGTAGCACCATGAACTAATGAAGTGTTGTGCAGTGTTCCGCACTAATCCTTCAGTCATATCACTTGAGGTGTCAGTGTAGGCGTTGTTTTGAGCGCCAATTCCTTTTTGAAGCAGCGCATGTCAAACCATCACTTTCCATACTTTTACTCATTTTTTCTTCACTTTTATAGCTTCCACCAACTGGATCTAATCCAGACCTTGTACGAAGTAGTCCAGCTCCAACATCAACAGCTTTAAAACCTGAAGCTGCCTCTGCAAAAATTGAAAGTCCTTCTAGTAAGCCTTCTGCGGATAAACCTGTTGCAGCAGATGTTATGAAGTCCAGTGACATAATGAGTAAATCTTACACACAAATTTCAAAATCGGATAGTCCGACTCGTAAGATGATAAGTGGGAGTAAACTCCCCACTTCTACTACCACTACTACATCAACACCGCCTATCCCTACTGGTATTAAAATGCCAATAAATCCTTCAGAGATCTCACAAACTACAGCAGCACTTAGTAATGTAAAAGCGGCTGCGCAGAAGGTGGATTCTGAAAATGCACCAAGTGAACTTAGAGATACGTCTCAAAAAATACCAAAAACATCTGTATCAGCTGTTCCAAGTGGTACTGGTAAGTACATCCCAGACACAGAGTTGGAACTGGCAAATCTACGTGCTGAAGTAATCGAATTTCGTGAACAAATTGATGCTTTAAAAGCTAAACGGGAAGAAGATAAAAATAGAATACAAGAATTAGAACGTGTTAAAATTCAGCTTTCACAAGTTGAAGAGAATCGACGTCGAATCCGACAACAAGCAGCTGAATTACAACGTGAAAGTGCTCAATTAAAAACAGTAGGTTTTCTTCCTTATATTGATTTTAAAAATTTTGTTGGGTTGGTGAACTGTACTTGGAGCTTAAATTATTCTTTTGAAGTCACTATCATTACTGTTTCCAAAGAATGGATACTGAACAAAGAATACTCTTCTCGATAACTTCATCATCAGGCTCTGCAGTTATATATACATTATAGTGAATGAATAAATTAGTGTTGTGAACAACATTAATGTTTAAATAACCACGAATATCAATAGATTATAGTTAAATAGCATCAATATAACAATAAACTAAATGTCAGAAAAATTAGTAAAGATAATAATACAAATTCATGGATTTATAATCTCCACTAAAGGCCGGGGCAATAGTAGTGGCTGGACTTGCTTCTTTTGCACACAAAGCACTGGTTATTTGAGGCGAATTGAAATAGCCTCTGCTGTTTGGAGCATGTGGTACTTCGCTGTTTTCGGCAATTTATTTGGCACACGGTAGATGATAGAGAAGGATTCTTCAATGCTGGCTTTGTGGCTGGTTTGGACCAGATGATCAAATATCGAACTGTTGATGGTTTTCACTACACCTTTACATAGCTCTACTGGGAGATGTTTCTTTTAAAAATTGAAACCTCTGTAAATAAATCATAAAATTGTATGAACGAAAAGTTTGTGAACTCTCTTAGTTGACTAACTGTAAGGAGATAATATATTCTCAATCGATGGCGATAACTAATCAAAATCGATTGATAACCTGAAAATGACCCTATATGGAGTAAGCTATTGATGATGCAACATGAAGTTGTTGACTGCTAACACTTGAGTTTTGACTGTTCCCAGTTCCAGTTTAAAAAAAAGATGGTTCTCAGTTATAGAACCACAAATAGCCACTGCACTTTGTTTTCGTACTATTTCTCATCCACGATCCATGTTAATAATAGATTAGTGTAATTTCGCAATTGTACAATCTATGGGACCTATGTCTACCCACTCTGTATGTAATGACAAAGTTGACGTCAAAAAGAGTAGTGCTAGTAATCACATTTTGCAGATAGCGAATACTAATAATATAGTGGAAACACTTCTACCAATGTGAATTTTGTCCGTTTACTTGCTCACAGAGTGATGTGCAGAAACTGGTGATCTTTTTACTGCCATTTAATACATACCAACCATCAAAAAGTTAACGTGTTTTGTGTGTGTGTGTGTATGATTCTCCTACCTCATAAAATAACAGCTAATAACTGCTGCCCCTCCCCATACAGTGGCCTAATGAAAAACTATGTGTAGTGCTTGAAACGTTGGATGCTAAGTTCGAGTCTCAGCGGGGGAGAGAGGGGAAAGTGTTATGATTCACTGCGAATACAGTCACATTATCCTGCTGATGAGCTCCGAATCAGACGAAAGGTGCATTTTAGTTCCTACTGCAAGCCATTTACCACCATCTCATGTCGCTTTACACTAATGGGATGATTGGCAATTCTCATTATTTATTGCTTTCTTTTTGTTCATCGACAGCAAGTAATAGATGGAGAAAAGTCTGGTGTGTTTTGTAGACAGACAAACACTAGTAATATAAATGATTCTGTATTCCTTAGTCCATCGAATAACAACAGTATGAACAATATTCGCCGTGGTATCGATGATGCTAACAATAAAACAACTGGAACAATGAATAGAACTCCGAATAGAGATATGGGTGGATTGAAGCCGCCATCATTAAATGCTGGAATGGATTCTGGCAATAATATGCTTACAGACAAACCAGTAGGTAGTAGCATTGGCAGACATAATTCAATGCGATCGTTGGCTGCATCTAATCGACCAACAAGTCTATCAAGAACAGCAAGTGTAAGTTGACCAACTCTCATTTCATGTCCTTTTCGCTTTCCACTCCCCACAATCTGCTTAGTTATTATTTTTATTTCCCTCCAAAGTTTAAGGATTTCGTTTACTATAAGTGCACACAGTGATTTTAATGAGGGAAGGTCAAAAAGGCCATAGCTTTCGTCAGTGTCCGCGACTATGAATCTGTAACCGGATAAGACTTGGTAAGGGACCTTTTTGTTAGTGAGACTCACCGTATTTATACGTTTTTAGCTATATTTATGGTCGACTAGATCAACGGATAATAAACTATTCTGATTGGTTGTTAGTTTTCTGAAGGTCAAACTTTTGGGACGTGAAGTTGTCTACTGACAGTAGGTTGTTCTGATTAGTTGTTGATTTTTTGGGAGTTAAATCTTGAGGTTGTTTTCTGACCACAACGTAGGCGAGTTGCAGATTTGAGAAATAAACACTTCTATTTCTGTAGCTATTGTTTCAAAATGTTGTTTTTCAATTTAGGTTACTTCCTATCAATCTGCATCTATATACTATTGATAAATTTTGCTAGTAGTACATGGCACAATATAATAACATAGTTAAGTGGAGGGAGAGTTTAATCACCGAATCTTTGCTGATCGAATCATCCGATATATTGGATTATTTTCTACCACGATACCCAAACTCTACTCTTACACTAAGCCTGAATAATTGTTGCAGTTATTGAATGTGCCAAAAATAGCAGTTTCTTCTATAGCCTGTTATGGAATTGAGTGAAAGTGCATAGTATCTACCAGTCAACGAGGTTTGAGGATGTTAGTGAAGTGCGTATCTAGGCATGTTTCTATGAGAAATATTTAGTAGTATTAGTAGGAGTAATCGTGAGCAGAGTAATATAATAAACTTTGTGATCAATTTTGGTCACGGATTGATATCAGTTAGAGGACCATTAAAGAACCTGGGAGTACTGGACTGGTATCTCATCCTAGTTCTGGACTCTTCAACAGTACTCACCCATGGGGTTTCGAACCTAGGACCTTCTGGTTACAAGGTGAGGTTGTAGGCCATAAAGCCACTGGGACACCTGCCTGATCCGATGGTCAGTCCATGAATTCCATCTTCTGCTAATTGACGATGTTTATAACGCAACCGCCAGTCAATGTCATGGTCGAGTAACTGTTCTCCTCCCTGACTTGGTGGACTCCGCTGGTTGCGACTTCTCACTAGAACTCCACGTAACTTTCTGTATACAGGCAGTTGCTAGTTAGAATTAGATTAACTATCAAGGTGTTGGTTTGCGGGGATTTGACTGGTTACAGGATTTCATCATGAGCTGACATCGGTTAGAGAACCACTGGAGAACGTGGGTGGACTGGACAGCTGTTTCATTTTCGTTTGGGACTCATCATCAGCACACACATGAACAAGTGAAGCTTAGGAAGAAATAAGCATTCTAAGCACTGCATATCAGCAATTCCTTTTAGAATGAAACTCAGCGATTGTATACAGACCGAAATTGTCGGTGACTACTTGAGTTAACATTTTACCTCGTTCAGATTATACTTAACTGATATAATTGTTTACAAACCCCTTTATTCCTTAATTTGTTTTTTTTTTTTTCATTACTGTAGGTTCGACGGGACAGGGATTCTGGATTAATATCCAAAGCACTCGGCTACATGTTTGGCTGGTCATAAATTTGAAACCAATTTTTGGGTATTTACCAGTTTCGATTATTGGTAATACCGGATATGTAGTTATGGTTTTCTGAGATTCATCTTATCCTATGCCATATTGTAAAATAAAAGTATAACGTTATGATCACAAAACATTACACATTTTTTTTGACCTAATCCCCTCTTTTAACGCGAAACGTGATACACGTATGCACTTATCTGTATTAGTGGGGCATAAGTGTGTGTAGACTTGCGGATTGTTGATTGTGAGGCTAACAAAACGTATAAATCATAGTTTAAAATTGACAACTGTGTAAACGCAGTCATGTTCTGGACTCCATGTGCTTATCTTCGTTTTAGATTAGAAGAGAGAGCCTTTTTCAAGTTGAGTTACACTTGCAGGATGGGTGTTAAGCGGTATAATATAGTGGGAGATATTTAAGTTATGTGAGTAGGAGAGTTAATCAATCAGTTTGTGAAGCTGCATCGATTGAAATGGCAGGGGCACATGTTACGCATGCACACCAAGCCATTGCTCCTCCTCGTCGATTGATGTTAGTTGACGTCGGGTTGTGTTGGAAAGCGAATCGAAACATGGCAACAATGCATGCAGTTTTAGGCTATGCGTTTAATCCATGTAGGAAGGTGCAGAGATGCTAGTAACCACCAGTGGCTTGAAACTGTTGGTAACATTTTTTCTTTCTGTATCTGTATGTGTTTGCTCTATTTGTGTGTGCGTGTGTAGAGTGGCAACTTTGAAGTGTTACACTTTATTGCATGTTTGTGCGTTGAAAATTCATTCCAGATTAGCCTGTATGAGAGTAGAGAAGTGTCTGTTAATTATTTGAACCAGTACGTAATGGTTGCGGCCAAAGTGTCGTCAGTGTCATGCTTAAGAATTTTACTATTATTCTTTTTATTCCCTTTGGTTCCGAGTGGAATACAGGGCTTCAACAGCGCATCTCCACTTTGTCCTATTCTCTGCTATCCTCTTTAGGCAGGTCCACGAATCGTCCATAATCTCTCATCTCCTCCTCACAACACCAATCTCCTCCATGTCACCATTGACCACACTCCGAATCGTCGTTTCCCCCATTCTGATTCCACTGCAGCCATGACTTGGCATGCGATGTCATTCGACGGTCTCCTCAGTGTGTGTCCAGTCCATCTTCATTTTCTCCCACATATTTGTTGAGCAATCGATTTTTTTGATTGGTTTGTCCCCATAATTTCTCGTTGCTGATTCTTTCTCGCTGGCTATTTGATCTTTAATATGGATTCAGCGAAGGCAGCTGTTGTTGATAAATGTCTGCAGTTGGCTTTCGTGATCCGCTGGCCACGTTTCTGACCTATATAGAAGAAGTGACTGGCTTAAGATTGGTGTTGAAAATCCGAATCTTGCTCTTTATGCTGGCTGAGTGCGGAGGATGTCCAAACTGATTTCAGAGTGATGAAGGTTTGTCTTGGCTTTCCAATTCTGGCTGGCATTCACATCCTCACGCGTGCTGGCTACCTGTAACTGAA